AGCACGTGTTTTACTGCTCACATTTAATGCACTCGTTCTTCTGGGTTGCTGGCTGTTGGGAAATGGCTAAGTAGAATTAATGCTCCTGGAATCTTGGACGTCCTGTGTGACACTATAGCCAGACAGGAATACAGCATGTTCATAGGTTTCCAAATGCATTGGGTTTGGACGAGACAAGAACAGAGACACAAAGGAAAGAAGAGTTAGTGAGCTGTCACATTTATTGCAGTCCAAACAGCTGCTGCTAAAATTATAATGTTTAGCTACAACGCCAAAGGGGTTTGTGTTAATGTCTGTATTCTGAGTGTATGAAGAGATGAGAGGGCAAACCGGGGCAGAGATGTAGCGGGGAAGTGTAAAGACGGACAGTAAGATTCAGTGATTTTCTTTTCCTGGTGAGATGCTGACAGTTAGATGGATGAGCTGGCTCTGCATCCTCCTCAGTTCTGCTTTTCCTCCTAGCCTGGCACTAGCTTCCAAGTCTCTGCTTCAACAGTGGACATGGGGCGAGTGCAGAGAGGGCAGAAAGGTGATCAAATAATTTATTTCAGATCAGACTCAGTCAGATGTGGGCCAGTTTGTTCTCACATATCAACCATATGGTGCTTGATATACCCTGCCTAGAGGGAAGCTCACTCCATCAAGTCACTTTTAAGCCTTGTTTTCAGCTTAATCTTCATTATGATTAATGTACATGTAGCCCAGCAGTTCCCAAACTTTTTTGGCTGTGGACCGCCTTTTATATCCCAACTGGGCTTACACACCCCCACTTCCCCATACTTTTGGTAAAAAAAAGAAAAAACAGAAAAGGCAGCAATCTTTCTTATAAAGGCAGCATGATTATTCATGCTCAAATGACACATATAACACACTTATAGTAAGCATAATGTTATTTATTGTATTTATTAAAATTATTTTATTTAATAAAAATATAATCTTTTGATTTAAATTTTTTTAATCAGAATTTTTATTCACACTTCCTTATTATCTGTTCAGAAAAAAATAATGTGTATCCATTGGGAATTTGTTTTGTCAAGAATGTATTTAATTCTTGACAGCAGTTTTATTTTATTTTTCTATAGATGTCTGTTTAAATAAAGATTAATATTTCACCTGAACAGATAGTATATCAAATGTATCATCTGGAATTTTTTTACAGGGTATCAACAGTTTTAAAGTGGAGTTTTAAAAATGCTGAAAAATAGTCATTGTAAAATGTGACCGGTCTTAAGATCTTTTGCTGTCACTTATTGAAAAGGGACAACAACGACCAAACCGTTAGTGAATGTTCCTACAGCTGTATATAATAATAAGGGACACTTCAAAAATGTTTTATTTATGAAATACAGGAATTTTGGGAAGTGTAAATGAAAGGTTGTTTACTTCCCACACATTTTGAGGCGGTTGTTCAGTTTTTCCGATGATTTCTAATCCAATTTTTTAAAGTGTGATCATAATAATCACAAAGTAACAAAGGAAGAAGTTGAGCCGAGTCCTACACAAGCATAAATAAAAATCCTGGGCTTGCAGAATCAGGACACTAAGGCTTCAGTTCTTGATCTTTTAAAATGCAGACACACTGTTCTGACGGACATCACTGCACTCCCCCATGGTCTTTTGTCTGCAGCTCCTGTCTATCATTCAGAATGACCTGCTTTTCCCAGTTGTAGGGATCAACGCCGAGTGGTCAGACATTGGCAAAACTAGTGGCTAATGATGTCACCTCGGCTAAAGGGCTCTTCATTAAAACTGGATCAATTTGGCAGCTAATGCTTTCAAACAAGGGGCATGATGCCAGGGCTGCAGCTGCGAGCGAACTGAGGATGTCCCTCTAAAAGAGCTGGGTAGAGACACACGGTGATGGAGCCCAGCCTTTGTAGGTGAGGGACGTACACACACGGACACACAGGCTTCTGCAATGAGGAGATGAATGACATGGTCACTGAGGTGTGTACTTCATGTCAACATGTGAACACAGACACATTCTACTGAGCTTATCTCTGGCAAACACCAGCTGGGAGAGACAGGGAGAGGAGAGAGATACGGCTCTGCCGTTTCTTCTGCCCCTTCCTTTACTTTCCTTTTTTTAATTCAGCCTTCATTTCCATTTTTGAGAGAGGGTAATGTGACTGTGCGAGTTGAGCGCAGAGCAGACAAGCAACAAAGCAGGGAGGAAAATAAAAAAGGCAGATGAGAAGAGTGAGAAGAGAGCAGAGACACCTTTCACCACAGGATCCTCATTTTCCTTGGGCTGTATTTTAGCTGCAAATGAAAGTGCTCCGTGATTCTGCAGCTCAGCTCCTCTCAAAGGGAACATCCTCAGAACTCTATTGTGGTGGCACATGCTTTGTGCGCTGCTACCAAGCCTCTGCGTCTCCTTGCATTGTGCTGTGGATCCATATTATTTTAGGACACTGTTACAGGCACTTAGTTTAAACGTATATTGTGACAAACTCCAAATCCTTCCTCTGCACTTTGTCTGCGTACTTGCAGTTGTCCCACTCCTGTCCTTGCTCTCACCTACCGTGTGTGTCATTATTCAACACTCATCTGATCGCTACTCCCGCTGTCTGAGTGTGACCCTCTGCTATTAATTTACTGCCAGGCACTAATTCAGACACCTCTCCGTAGCACTAGTTTCACATATCTGTCCTTCAGATTATGCCAGTCATCCACCTACGGTGCATTTAAAAGCCACATCATGAACTCCTACTGGTGACAATTAAATCTTTTGGATGCCTTTAAGAGATACTGTTATTACTGAAGTACCAGGGAGAGTAGAGTTTAATTTTCACGCACACAACCTATTTGCTCCTTGCTTATTCATATGAGTATAATACTTATCTAACAAGGTAGTAACAGACGCTCCCTTAGATCCCTATAAAAGATTTAAACACATACAGTAATACACAGGTATTGCTTTCCAGCATTTTTAATGTTGAGTAATTTGCAACATTTATCAAAGTCAAATGTAAAACAAACCAGCAAATAG